GTGCTTAATTGAAGAGGTGGCTCCGACGAGCACCTTAGCATTCGGTTGGGTTGAGAAATAGTAATGGCTCAACTGGTGGTTCTTCAGATGGAGAAAGTATTTGAACATTGGCAAGGTAACTAAGATGTTGTGAATTGTGTAGAAACAGAGAATCYTAACCAGATACTATTAGCACTCAAATTTTGCTCGGTCCCTTCACCCTACCTCTTTGTACTCCCCTTTTGCACTCCAAAAACTTGAAACACAATCAGATCAACTTGAGACTTTCCAAACCCAAAAAAGCCCTCATTTGACACAATCTACAGGACAAACAAGAACCTTGATCAGATATCATCCCCAGAGTTGAAAAACTATAACTTAGTTGCACATCAATTTTCATGACTAAACTCTAAAGATCCACCGTTCATCACGCCAACTTCCTAACGGCCTCGACCTATGTGATATCCAAATTCCAACTCCTCCAAAATCAAATCCAACATATCCATAACCCCAAGATCACTAGGAAATAATCAACTAGCGAATCCCACCACGAATCTTTAACAACCAACCGTAAAAATATCAAGATCGGCCATATATTTCTCAAATCATAACCATCCACTTGACTCCTCACCCTAATCCATGCCTACCTACCAAATTGTAGCTCAAAATTCCCTCGTTTAACCTCCCATCAAGCCTAGATCCTATTTCAACAAATCTCATTAATTAGAACTTATCATCCATCATCCCAAATTCACATGACAAATCAGACCTTACCACTATGTTCGAAGACCAAAAAAACCCTAGCATGTCAAATCTCACGACCAAATACTTTTGTTTGAATGTTGAAAAAGTAAGATTCCATTTTGAACCCTCTCGTTGATTGGAAAACCATAAGTTAAGACCATGATCTGAACTAAATTAATCAATCTACACCTTTAATCAAAGATCCATCACTTCCATTAGATTCAGGATGATCAAAAGTGCCAACCCACCAAATTTCATCCCAAAATTCCCCTGTTTGACCCTTCATCAAACAAAGATTCTGTGTCAGCAAATCTCGTTGATCCGAACTTGTCAGCCATAGATCTCAATCATCCTGACCCCATTTGTCTGATCAGACCTCACCATTGTGTTCAGAGACCCAAAAAACCCCAGGACGCCAAATTTCATGACCAGACTCATTTATTTGACCGTTAAACTAGAAAAATACCATTTTGATGCATTAGATTAAATTGCCACATCACCTGCCCCAACCTGAAGCCTTAAAAGGGTGATGGCTGATGTCAAACCCATTCTTGACCCATTAGAACACCTAGACCGATCAAACAAAGCCTAATAGACCTAAAAAGTTCAAAATATCAAACAAACCCCTACTTAGGACCAAGAAAAGACAAAATAATATTTAAAAGTTCTTCAAATTTACATTTTCTGCCATTGTCAGCCCCAAATACGAGACTGCAACTTTGGCACGCCCCAAGCTCCTATTGGACACATAAAACCCATGAAAACTAGGGGTGTAAATGGATCAAATTCGAATCGTATCAGGCAATATCTGAATTCGAATCCGATTAAAAAATCTAATATCCGAATTCAATTCGATATCCAACGGATATTGAAAACTAATAATCAAATTYGAATCTGATTAAATATTTGAATATCCAATTCGATTCGAATTCGACTAATTAATTATTTTAGGCAATTAATAAATATATAAAATAAATATTTATTTATATAAAGTATATAAATTATTTATATAATTTAATTATTATATATATAAATTACATAAAACATTTAAAAATTTTATATATTATATATAAGAATTAAATAATCAGTCGAATTCAGATATTTAATAGATCAAATCAGGTCATATCCAAAATTGAATCCGATTAACTATTCGGTATGAATAGGTTATCCGAATTCGACTGATTAGATATTCAAATTATCCAAATTTGATTCGATTATGTCGAATCTCGAATTCGAAATTGGATTTTCAAATACCGTTGACACCCCTAATGAAAACCACCCCCAAATTGAAGAGAGAGTTTCACCAAACAGGAAAGCTTGACTGGGCATCCTTTTCTTTGAAGAATTTTTGCCAATGTGTGTGTAAAACCTCTGTTAAATCCCAAGCACTGTAGCTGAACGAGTTCAGACCCATCTCCCTCCACTCTCTATAAATACTGACCTAATTTGAGCTCAAAGAAGGGAGAAAAACCCAAGGGGGAGACCAGGGGAAAAAAAGAGAAAGAGAGAGGAAGGAAACCCAAGAAAGGCTCCTGGAGAGAAAGAGAGAGAGAAGAGAACTTTTTCCCATACCATATGCTGCCTCTTGTTCACCCAAAATCTGGAGGTGCTCTGAATATCAGATTCTAAACTCGTCTCCTCCACCTTTAAGCGGAGGTTGCTGCAACCAAAAACACTACCTAGCTCAAGAACCCATCTAAACTTCGTTTTGTCGCATCCCTAACTACTGGAAAACTCCCGTCAAGGAACATACAAAAGGTATGTCTTCTTTAGTTTTTCTGGGTTGCTTGAGGTTCTGAAATGATGGAGAACCATCGTTTTCAATTTCTTCTTAATTAAGAGTAGAGGCAGAGTGGTGAGGGTCTTAGGGAAATCAATACCTAAGACCCGATAACATCACCTTAAAATTGGTCTTAGAAGGAGTTGAAAGCATGTTCTTCTAGATTTAAGAAATTCTTGCAACCATTTCTGTTTTTCTCCGAAAGAAACTGAGCCTGAATAACTCCCGTATCGAGCTGCTAAAGTAGCTTGGAGAGAGGGGTGCCTAATACCTTTCCTCTTCCAATCCATGGGATCTGAAATCTTTTAGTTGTGTGCCTTTCCCATGGAAAACGGAATCACTATCAAAGACTTAAATCGAGCTTTTCAAACCTAAAAATGAGGGCCCATTTCCTCTAAAAAATGGGTGGCCACTCCAACTTTTTTTTGCTGGTCATGAGCTTCCTGGAGCTCACAGATACCTACAGGACATGGTGCCACCTCAAAACAGTCACCAATCCACTAAGGGGAACCTCAGGTTGGCCTCCAGATTCTCGTCATACATATAGAGCTTTCTAGGCTTTCTAGGAGGGATGCTCGAGGCAGTTGAACTCAAACTCGGGAGGGATGCTCTACGCTTCCCATCCTTTACATGTTCAAGGCTACTAACTTGCATGGAGTTGTGGCGATGCACTCCTGAAACCTCAAGGAAACCTCAATCTCCTCCTCTAGGATCTTCACTTTGGCCTCATCAGTGGCCCCCTTGGCCTCAGCTCAAGTGGACTCGCTACTAGACTCCACTTCCTACTTGGCCTCAACCTCATTGGCGTTAGTCTCGGGAACAATGACTTTATGGCCTTGTGTTGAGGCCTCGGCTCCCACTTGTCCTGCAAATTGGAGTAGCTTGAATTGGAAGAGGAAGAACTAAAAAAAGAAAAGATGACGATGAAGGCATCTTACTGGGGAATGAAAGCGCGACAACACCAGACGAGGAGAAAGACTAGCCAAAGACTAGTCGAACTCCAGAGGGCACTCTCCTTGAAATGACAAAGTTAAATGGCTTGCCCCTCGCCTTATGTAAAGGTAGCCAATGGTCAAAATTGAAGTCATCCAATGGTATAGATCCATCCCTGTGCTCTATATGCATGAAAGCTAGGGAAGACAAAACGACACGACCATTGGACTGTACGATTAACATTCAAATTTCAAAATTTCCAAACCAATGTTGTGATTCCTTGACCTTGTTTGACCACACTTTGACTGACCTAATGGAAATACTAAGTTCCTCAATTGAGCACAATAGGAGCTCGTTTGCTTCACCTCAGTTGAACACCTCTCTCCTTGACTTCGGAATTAGGGGACTGGTGTTAAGGTCGTACCCTAATTGGTTAAAGCTGTCACGTGGCTATCGCCATGTCCTAGAATTAGTTGACCTCCTTGGGCCACATCAGCAGGCCGACACACCATGCATCGAAGTCGGCAAACTTATCTATAGGCAAAAACCTCATATAGGTTTAGGATCCATGATATCTCTATCTCAACGATAAGTGTCCCCACTAAGGAACACGGGATCATTTGAAGACCTTGATGGACGACCTCCTCCCTTAAGCACCACAAGGGATGTGACTGAGTGCCCCACAAAACTGGGCTATTTAAAGGTGTCTCCCCTCAAGGTATACACTCTCTAGCCTTCTTGTTCTCTTTCTTTCTCAACCTTACTCGGTCTGACCAGCCTTTTCTCACCTCTTACTAACTTGAGCGTTGAATTGCCTTCCTTGGGGACTTCAACCTTGGGACCTCTGACCACGCTTTAGTTGCAAGTTTACCTCTGGGCACTACCACGTCCCTCCACCTCAACTTGTTCAAGTTAGCAAGACTTCATTTGTTGCATGTTCACCTCGATTCAGACAACATCAGTTAGAAAATAGACATGAAGAGTTTTTTGATGATATATAGAATGACCTATTTTGATGAAGATTTCATTGTTGAAATTGGGATTCAATTGCCCTATTTTTAGATCTCCAATACCATTTTTAGATAAGGAAAATGAGTAGCGCAATGGAGTTACAAGCTCTAACTCAATGCACTCTAATACCAATTGGTGAATCTATGATACCAATTAATATATCATAAGTATAAAAAAATGAAAAAGAAGAAGATAAAGAGACAACAAAGTTGGGGATTCACTCACCCAAAGGGATTGGAAACTCACTCACCCAAGAGAGGATTCTCTTAACTCTAAAAAGAAAGATCTAAGCTTCACAAAATAAAAGAAAGAATCTGATTTCTCTTGCATAAGATTACAAGGCTTTATAGAGAACAAATAAATTAGTTGTTGGAGATTTTAAAACTAGCTATTGGAGCATCTAATAAATCTATTCGTTAGAAACCCACTAACCAAAATGGGTGTTGGAAGCCCATTAGTAAGTTTAAATTAAGGCGCACTTGTCTTCTCCTTTTCAAATGTTTTTGTGCTTCTTGGGGCATGGTCTTGATCTGCATCAATATATTATTAAAATATTACAAAGTTGAAAACAATTCAACCCTAACTGCCACAAAATAAACCTTTTGCAAATTAAAATTTGGTAAAATGTTTGCCTCAATAATACTGGCGATTATTGTTAGCAGTACTGATGTGGATAGTGATGGCTTAAGCGCCTTCTTACTACTAACAATTTATAGACTTACCAGTATTCACTTTTTTTAGTGAATATGAATAAATTGTTTAGCCATTAACCATGAAAGATTACTGATTAAAGATCTTCAGCAATCAAGAATTGTGAACTTGGAATATCAAAAACAACAGATAGCTGGTTCAATGACTTAATGGAGAATCCACCATGGAGTGTTCATATCATCCCTTTTCCCTAATAATTTTTTTCAGTATCAGGATCTATATCTTATGGTTGTCTCTATTCATTCCAATGTCTCACTTTCTTTCAACAAAAAGAGGTTGAAGTTGTTCTTTGAAGTCATCCTGGTCCCATTCCAATGCTTTCCACCAATCTCTTTCACCTTTGATAAACCTTAAAGCACCAATTTCTAAGGAGGTTGTGTTCTGCTGTTTCTGCTGCTCGGTGCTTGTGCTCCTCAAGCCCAAGGGAAGTTTCTTTAGGTTTGGACACCGAACAACATCAATTGTTTCTAATGATGGTGGGCTGGCCAGTGCATCTTCTTCACAGATCCTAACTAGCTTTGGCAGGTCGTAAATTCGCAAGTAGTTCAGCTTGGGGAAGAGCACAACATCATCATCATTCTGCTCATTTATTTCTTCCTTGTCTTCCTTCACTATTTCTGCTAGCATCGAACATTGGATCACTATAACAATTTCAAGGTTTGGGAGCTGCGGAGTCCTGCTTCTTGAAAAGATACTTTTCAGCTTTGGACAATCTTTTATAAACAAACAAGTTAATCTGTTGAAGCTTGATGGTGGCAATCGATGTCCCTCCAAAATAGTTCTCAATTTGAACATGGCTACCAACGCTAATATTTTTATATTTGGCAAAACAGCAGCATTATCAGTGGCATCCATGACCATGAGCACAGTCTCCATGGCATTGCTACCATGCAACATGCAATATTCCAGATGATTCAGACTTCCCATCCTATTGAAATCTGATAATGTTTTAGCTGTCTTGTGTTCCTTTAACCAGAAAATGGAGGATTTACTAAGTAACTCCACGATGGCATTGGGTATGTCATCCCCACCTACAAACTTCAAACTCTGATCCCCTTCAATGTAGGGAATAGGAACTGAATGCTCTGAATGTTGCAGTGTTTGAAAAAGTGAATACAACACACGCTGGTTTGTAAAATCTGGAGTGACTTGTAGATGGAATAGCCTCAAGCATTGATTCTTCCAAGACAAACTTGCTCCCAAGAACTGCTCGAGATAATCCACACTCGGGAAGAGAAAACCCAATCTAGTTAGCTTTTGCAATCTGGTTGCCTCCCTAGCAAGAGCTTCTGCAATCCCAATCCATTTATTTGAAAATTGAAAGTGGGAATCAACAAACCCTTCAGCATGTATTATCAAGTCTTCCAGTCTAGATAGCCTTACCAGTGTCCCATCAGGAATCAGCCTTTCTGTTCCATCTTTCTGGTCTGCTGTAAATATCACCCGCAAACTTCTTAGACGAGTCAGTTGCCCAACTTCAGCAGGCAAGTGCTCAATTCTGGGTCCTACATGAAGTGCTTCAAGGCTGGTGAGTGCTCCTACTTGTGATGGTATGGCTTGCAGATCGCTACATCTCCATAGAAACAATCCTCGAAGGCTTACTAGCTTTGAAATAGATGGTGGCAGCTCTTGAATTCGAGTCCAGGATAGGTCCAGAACTCTTAGTCCCTGCATATGCTCAAAGAATGACTCTGGAATAATCTCCAAATGTTGATTTTTCGGCAGCAATAAAGTTGAGAGTCTGGCGGAGCATTCAGGCCTATCAGGAAGGTAGGATATTCGATTGCTTATTAGTGAGATCTTGATGGCTTGTCTCCATTCCACTTCATCTGGAGGTTCACTTATTCCAGCATTTGCTCTCACAAGGAAGTTATTACAACCATCATCTGAGGGTGATGATAATGATGCGATATGTAGTGCAAGATCTCTGATAGTATCGTGCATCTTTACTCTTAATAACAGGAAACTACGTTCAATCTTTTCCAAAAGAGAAGCATTTGCAAGTTGATTGACAATACTAAGACCTCTATCGCGTGCAATGCCCCAGCTACCATTTGGCTGGACATCAATGTAGCCCTCTGTCCACCAATGATCTATCAATTCTTCTACATAAATCGCGTGGTCTTCTGGGTATAATGCAGCATACAAAAAGCATTTCTTCAGACTGTCACTCTTTAATTGGTCATAACTAAACTTTAGTATGGCCAACACTTTGTCTTCCATCTCAAGAGCAGTAGTCTCATACTTCACTGAACTCAGCTCTTCTTTTGCATTTCTCCACTCATAGACATCAATCTTGTTTCTCAAGGAAGCCCCAATAACTCGAATGGCAAGTGGGAGACCTTTGCACTCCTCAACTATCTGTTCAGCTATTGGTCTTATTTCAGGAGACTCCACTACTTTACCAACTATTTGGGAAAACAGCTTCCACGCTTCTTCTGGAAACAAGACTTCCAGCTTGATGTCCCTGTCAGCAAACATTTGCCTACAGACCTCCAAGGATCGAGAAGTTAATACTATCTTGCATTGGTTCTCATTGCTTGGACTTGGGACTCCTATCTTCTCCAACTCAAAGCTTTCCCACAAGTCATCCAAAATAAGTAAGTACTTTTTGCTTGTCAAATGCTGCAACAACTTTCTTGCCACAGCATCCTCAGAGTTGTCCTCCAATTTTAGTTTTAATCTTTGGGCAATTTCGTTTTGCATGTTTCTCACATTCAAACTTCTGGACACTGTGACCCAAATAACAATTTCAAACATCTGATCTATTTCAGGTAGATTGTTCAAGTGCTTCAGTACTGTTGTCTTGCCAACACCACCCATTCCCCAAACACCAATCATCTGGACTTGAGGATCATTTATGCAATCTAATATCCTCTTCATGTTGCGATCGATGGGTGTCCACAACTCAATAGCTGGTGGAGGGACAGGGGCTGGCTCAACTGTCTGTAGAGGTTTATCAGCAACAATTTCTGAACCTTGCCTCAACTCTGAGCTTTTCCTGTTATGCTCAGCAATTTCCTTTGTTAAGGTTACTAGGCGTTTGCCGAGCTTCCTTCGTGACCAGATGTCTGGGATGGGACACCACCCACCAAGACATTGAGTGTTTGCATTCGACTCTGCTTCTATCATGTTCAGTTGGTTCTCAAAGCTACTTGCATGCATCAGCCAAGTTGTGCATGTTTTGGTTGCGATTGTTGAAACTGGGTCTCTACTTATTTCTCCCTCTATATCTGCCTTGTTATCATGCAGCTCTTGAGCTTGTGAATTGAGATCTTCCAAATGCTTTCCAATATTGTTGAGATAGTTGATTTGGTGTCCAAAATAAGTACACATGCTTCTCACAGCATCCCTCACCAAATTCCCCAATATTTCTCCCAAGAGATATTCCATATTTGGCTGTGAAAAATTTTCGGTTTCTGCTTTTTAGTGGATATATATTCATATTAATTAACAAAACATAATATGTGGGGAATGAGAAAAGCAACTAGATAATAGCAATATTAATTTGACATGAGTAGAGATATGCTACCACCCATTTAGAAAATAAAAACAAAACACTGAAGTAATCAGGGTATTTGGTAAGAGGAAATGTTTCCCTGTTTCTGTTTTTCCATCTTGCAACATCATTAACACACCCCAGGAAGTGTGTTTGGCCCATCTGTTTCCTCAAGAAAACAGTAGCACTCTCAAGTAGTTTCTTGTTCATGGCGTTTCTCAAAGCTCAAAAGTTTAGCTAGCTTTACTAATCAACTTTATTGGCACCCTCAATCTTCAAAGAACTCATTAATTAATGAGTGAATAATCAAATAAGTCAAATCTGTAAATTTATTTAATTGCTGCAACTAATAACCTGGTACCCTTCTTGGCCTAGCTCTTCCTCACACTTGAGAAGGTTAAACCGAAAACATTTTAAATCCAGGTAGTGTTATACCACAGATTCCAATCTAGTGAATATATATAGCAGATTGATCTCGTGATGTTTCTGAACTGAACTTGAATTCTAATATATAACAAAATCAAGGCAGCAAAATAATCAAATGAAGTGATTCAGAAACTAATCAGTTTAACCGATATGATGGAATTTAATATAATCGATATATGATATTAATGAAAGGTTAAATAACCAAATCAGCGAATACAAAGTCTAGTAGCACACAGATTCCAAGCTAGTGAACTTGTGATCTTTCTGAACTGAAATTGAGTTCTAATATGTAAAAAATCAAGGCAACAACTAATCAAATGAAGTGATTCAGAACCTAATCTGTTTTAACTGATACGAGGGAATTTAATATAATGGATATATGATATTAATGAAAGTTTAAATAATCAAAGCCGGGAATACAAAGTCTAGTACTAGAACATGTAAATTTATTACCTCTGTTGACCCTTGCTCAGTGGCGTTTCCACTTTCCAGCAAAATTCAAGAACCAGCAATAGCAAATATATATAGCTGCATTATCGGAAGGTTGCTGGTGTAAACCACATGAAGGGGATAGAGAGTGATAATGGTACGGTTAAGTGTTATGTAATTTACATTATAGTCCTGCAATTAATTTCGGTCAGAATTATATCACACTCCCTCGAGTCACATCTGGTGGGGGCATATTAGGTGGAGACCAGATCTGGTCCTCGCACAGGGCGCCTCACAACGACCTCACAGGCACAATAAAAGGTGGAACGTCTTCTGTACTTGTGTGTTATTTTTTATGGGAGATGTTCCCAATAAAAGGTGGGATGTGCCTGTGAGGTTGTTGTGAGGCGCCCTGTATGAGGAGCAGATCCCAATTTTATCTGGTGAGTATACGTGCTTAATAAGTGTGCAACACCTGTCCCTATCCGGTTAAGTTAGAGCATGGAGTCCAAATCTGCTCATCACATAATGCTCCTCGCATCATATCTCACAGCATGTTTCAGCCCTACATCGGAGGAAACATCTCCCGAGTCTCGAGGGGTGGACCTAGAAACTTTTAATGAGGGGGCTAAAATCTAGAGTGGATTCGGCAGGTGGGCAGGCGGGCGGGTGAGAATAAATATGGATTGCCATGGGGGCAACCATTGGGTAGGGAGTGGGGGAGAGGGAAAATTTATATGGAAGAATATATTTTAAGTGGGAATTTTTGAACCATAGGGGGCCATTGCTCTTGTAGGTCCTTCCTGGCTCCCCTTTGCATCTCCCCTAATTGTATGCTATTATCCATGTGAAATGTTCTTAATACATGGTGAGATGTGGCTGTGAAGTTGGTGTGAGGAGCATTTTGTGTGGAGCAAATCCAAATTCCATTGCATGGGGGAGTTGGAGGCACACATACGGGTCATAGATGGGTGATGCACAACAATAGGCAAAATATGGTTATGATATTTATTAATGGGTTTTTGAGATTATGGATACAGAATTCGCATCATGCCGAGCACATTCGACCAGTTCCCACTGCCCATCCCAACTGTGTATTGGGAACATCTCCCAATGACATGGAAATGTTTTCAATGCACGTTGATATGTGCATGTGGGGTGCCAATCTGAACTCGTGAATACGTGGCACAGGTGAAATATTGAAAACTCGTATCAATATAATTGAATATATTCATCACTTGCTCCAATATAATTACATGTCACATACATGGATTTTGAACCTTTTAACTTCAAATCTATTATTCTCAGTGGATATTTCTGAATAAATGTTAAAGACTTGGGTTCACTATGATATTGGAATTTGGTAAGACATGATATCGTAAGCCAATCAACTGGTGTTATAAAAGTTGTAACCAATGAATGAACACATTAATTCTTCATTTTTTTCTAATTTTAGTATTCGATTTTCATAATTGATAAAGTACTTTTTTTTATCACACTCATTTTTTTAATATGAAGGATTTATAATATAAAAGATGTGCTCAAAATTTTTTACAAACCTTTATATATTTTTATTATTTAATTATGACATAATGGGTTGACTCATTTGACCTAGAAGATTGGACCTTTAACCTGCCACCTAGATACAAAAATGGTTTTGTTTCCAGATTGTTTTTAAATTTTCTATTTCATTTACAAAAAAAAAAATAATTTTGGTTAATTAAAACAATTTTTATATGATTAATTTTTTTTGCATTTTTCTATAATTTTTACATAAAAAATTTGTATTTCATTTACATAACAATTTTCTATAATCTTTGTATTTTTATTTTTTTTTCATTTTTTATTTTTTAACTATGACATCATGGGTCGATCCATTTGACCCAAATGGTTGAACCATGATCCACCATCCAGAAAAAAAAGGGTTTAATTTCTGGCTGGTTTTAAATTTTATTTTTCCGCTTCATTATTAATTAAAATACTTCTTAAATATCATACTTTTTTGTTTAATATGATATCTATATCTATATTTATATATAATATTATAGATGTGTTTAATAAAATTTTCTATGGATTTTATTTATTTATTTATTTTTAAATTTCGTTATTTAATTACATGGCAACATGGGTTAACCCATTTGACCCAAATGGTTGAATTGATTACCAACCACCTACATGAGAAGGCAACTTCATTTCTTGGTTGATTTTAAAAATATAGGTCTTTATAATATTAAAATTATGAAAAACAAAAAATACCTTACATATAGGATTCCATGAGATAAAATGGGAGTTAGTGCTTTAAATATGGGCCTTAATTAATGAGAGGGAATCGAATGAACTACATAGCAACACTCAAATTACATTTTATGCCCTCACAATAAAGAGGGACCAAATTCAAAAAGAGAGATATTTTAGTCAAGATAAAAGTCCAGAAATCTAAAATATAGTAGTATAGGTTTCCATTAGCAAAAATAAAAAATACTAGTTAATATAAAGCTCAAGCTTTAAGCATTTCTTGCATTTAATTGTTAGGCATTAATACTAATAATTATGATTATAAACACTTGTTAGGCTAAGTATGGAATTAATGATATTTTGATGCTCATAAGACATAAGAGATAACTAGCAAGTAAAGCCATGCTATGAATGTAATTAAATAGAACTTTGGTTAGGTTTGGGTTGGCAAATTTGATTTTGACACATTAGATTGGTTCCAAGATAAGGTTCATATATATAGTTGGTCTTGGGTTGGCCCTTAACTTGACCCAATTTGTCTAATTTATTCTCCTTTGTTATTAAAGAGAGCCAAAAGGGGTTGGCAAATTTAAGAGGAAAGAAGAAATTTAATGAGGGAGAGGAGATGCTACAAACATTAACCATTGGAGAGAGAGAGAGAGATTTAAGAAGGGTCATTTACTTTTTTATTGCTTCAAATAAGGGTCATTTAGTTAGTCACCCCTAGAATTTCAAGTATTTATCAAAACTTACCCTCTAGATTGTGTATTAATTACTAAAACACTTCTATAATTTGCAATAGTTTTACTTAAACAACCTTTCACCAGGAACCGTTTGTATTTCCACTTGGGAATGGTCAAGTGACCTCTTAAAATGAGTGGGAAAATGTGAGAAGTCATGGATCCTGAGTTTTTATTCCAAAAATACTCTTAGAAATTCTCACATCACATCCACTCCATGTCTTCTTTAGACTTAGTTATAATGTGGTGGTGGGGGGTAGGGTTTTGTTTCCTAAAAGATTGTTAAGAAAATTATTAGGGGTATTTGTGGAATAAAAAACCTTAGATCCATGCCCGTTTATATTTGTTAGTTGCTTTAAGAGGTCACTTGACTATTCACAATGAAATAAAAAATGGTTCTTTACAAAAGGTAAATTAAATAAACAATTACAAATTATAAAGGGTGTTTTAGTAATACACAAAACTAGAGGGTAAAATATGTGAAGCAAAAGGAGGTGCCTAAGTAAATAGCCTTTTCAAGAAGGATCTAATTGGAGAGAGTAATGATGAACTTTATCCAACACAATTAAGACTAAGAGCATTTTTTTTTTTATTTTGACTCCTTATATTTTTTAATAATTTAATTTACAAATAAATAATGGCAAGTGTGAGAAATGGAGGATAAGGAGGTCCATGTGAGTAGGAGCATAAATAGATCAAATTCAAATTGTATCAATAAATATCCAAATTCAAATTAGACTATAAAATTTGATATCTGAATTCAATTTGATATCCAATGGATATTGAAAATTAATATTTGAATTTGAATTTGATTAAATACTCAAATATTTGGTTCGGTTAAAATTCAATAGATAAATTATTTTAGGTAATCAATAGACATAATATGAATATTTTATTTATAAAATAAATAAAGTATTTATATAATTTAAAAGTTATATATAAATTACTTGAAATGTTTATATATATATATATGAATTATAGAATTATATAATTGGTTGAATTCAGATATTTATCGAATCAAATAAGGTCATATCCAAATTCGATTTGATTATGTCGAACCTCGCATTTGAAATTAGATTTTTGGATACCATTGACTTACATGTGAGCACAAAGTTTACAGAACTTGCAAAGTTTTTGGTGTAGCGTAACAACATGGATCTCAAGGTGAGTTTGTAAGGGGCTTATAATAGCAGCTACAATAGAGGTTTTACCATCACCACCCACAAAAAAAAAAGTTAAAAAAAAACAAATAAAAGCTAAGAGAAATAAGGTAGAGATTTTTGTAAAGTCTATTCAAATAAATATATAATATCTCTATCTATACTATGTAATATGTCGAAACATGCCTAGGTTTTGATGCAAGTTATAAAAATTAAATCAAAGTATCATGTTATACAAGGATAACATTTATATGTTTACTTACACACATGTCATTGCACTAATACATTTATTAGTAGATAAAATCCAATTTTGTAATTGGAAAGGCATTGCACTTGAAAAAAATTGAGAATCAATTAATTGGCATAACAGAAGTGATAATCGTGACTTCTGGAGTTCTAGTTGAATTAATTTAGATACTTATGATCCATAAAAAGTAAAGAATCAAAAGATGGCCCAATGAGAACTTCTAAGAAGTTGAATCAAACTTCATACAAGGAGTTTCCTTTTCACCATTTGCTCTCTTGTTGATTTCCCTTAGGTTGTGTTTGGAAACGATGCAAATATGTAGAGTGTAAAACGGTTCATATAAATTGCAAAGTTGGGTTAGTTTTGCATTGACAAACTTACCTTCTTACCAAACAAATTTTTAGCTGTAATGGATGCAAATAGGAATTCCAATAAAGCATATGTTTTTTTTTTTATCAAAAGACCACTTGAATGCAAATTTACTTCTTTTTTATTGATGTACTTTTACATCTTATTATCAATGTAAATATTCATTGGTTTGTCATTTGTCAATGCAAAAATGTAATATTGCCAAACACATGCAAAAGTGAACCAAAGTGCAAATTTACCTTGAACCGGAATTTACACTCCATTTGCATCGTTTCCAAACACAACCTTATGCTTTAATCTTTGTATTTATTTCTTTTAAGTTGTTGTATATGGGGAAATTGGTTGCTTTTTGTAGTTCCATTACATTTTTCCCTTTGTTTAGTCTCTGTTGG